CTGGAGATGGCTGAACACCTGCCTGCCGATGGGAAGCAGTGAATGCATTCCTTGCTTCGCTTTGCTTGCATGCCCAGCTTTTGCTTTACCTGTTAAACCGTCTTTATCTCAATCCACGAGTTTCCTCACTTCTGCCCTTCCGATTCTCTCCCCCATCCCACCGGGGTGGGTGAGCAAGTGGCTGCGTGGTGCTTAGCTGCCGGCTGGGGTTAAACCATGACATGCCTGCTCCACAGGTCCTCTCTCATGCAAAACAAGAACTTACTAATTGCATATTTGTCCTTTAAATGTCCCCTGCCTAAACAAAACAGACAGCTTGAGCGCCAGTCTTGTACTGGCATCGCTGCCTGGCGGGAGGCTCACAGTTTGAAGCCTGGCTACTTCTATGCAATTCCACCTAAGCAGCAATAAGAAGCCCAGAAGAAGGTTTTTCTCTTTGGACACTATATATAGTAACTGCAAACTATTTACATGGGCTTAACAAGCACTAGTGAGCCAGGAGAAGACAGCTGTAACTTCAAGAGAAATGAGCCAGCTGGGGCAATGAGAAAGGGGAGCTGGGGGGAGCCCAGCGTTCATATCTGTGGCTGAGATGCAGAGGGTGCGTGCTTCCCCGCGAAACACTGCCGACAGCGCCCTGGAAGCATGCTGAGCTGCAAAGAGTACCTCTGCAGATGGTCACTCCTGGGAGGCCCCGAGATCACTTGCAGTTTTACATGCTGCATTATCCATTGCCCCAAGGCTATCAAGCAACAGCTTCATAGCCACGAGCCAGGTATGTATCTCGCAGGTATTGCACGCTCACAGCATCTTCCTCCTGAGCTGTCTACTCTCAGATGTACTCCTGCACCCACACCTCATGTACTCACCTAAGGTAACAAGGAATCTATCATCCCGAGAGAATGCCATGGCTTGTACTTGCGTCTCGTGATGGAAGAGACTCGCTGTGCAAACCCCATCCTGGACGTTCCAGATGCAGATCTGGCAATGCGAGTCTCCATTCCTCTTCCCGGAGGCAGAGGCAAGAACCTAACAGAACAATACGTTGTCACGGAGACCTTCGTAACTAATTAGAGTACACTTCATTAGTTAGCCTTAGCAACTATTAGTCTCAAATTAAAGCGATGTAGTTGGCAAACGAAAAATTCTGTGAAAACAACCATCAGCTGATGGCAGGAGGGAATGGTGGCATCACCCAGAGGAAGGGAGCAGCCTTTGCTGTCACGCTGAGCCAGCACAATCGATAGCTAGGCTCCAAACCCATTTATTGTGCTTCCATATCCCCAGGTCTCCATGCAGCAGGCACAAGAAGGAACGGACAAAAGGGATTTTAGTCCATGACATTCCGTTAGCCCAAAGTGACACAGACAAAACCCAGCCTGGGGCAGCAGGAGCCTCTCCTACCTGGGCATCATGGCTGACAGCGAGCGTAGAGATCTCCTCTGCATGGCCAAGCCAGTGATTCTGTGATCCTGAGTGCAGGTCTTCAACCACGATGACACAGCCACAGGTGTAGGCGAAGAAGCCTAGCAGAGGAGGAGATGGGATGTTTTCATGTAAAGGCATCACATACAGCATCCACTACAATCTACATCGCAATTCAGGAAAATTCTTCGTTTCAGTAATACATAAAAGCTGACTGCTCTACACAGCTTGTCAGCATCCTTCCCATTGGGTTGAGAGTGGAGTAGAATCTCACTTCCCCTAACCTGAGCAAAGCAAAGCTGCTGGGCGTCACTCCAGCCTGGAGACAGGAGGCGAGATGGCCTTTGTGAGAGCCTTCCCTTGTGCTCTGTCCACTCAACAACTGACGCCTGAGTCTGCCCATATCAACTAATGTTTGCCAATAGCAAAGAAGAACGATTACTGGATTTTACCAACACAAAGAATCCCTGTGTTCAAGCAATGACCCCAGCCTGACAGCTGGAGTATCATAACTCGGCTCAGTACACACACCTCCCGCCCCTCCAGAGCCTTCCCGGCGTACCTGTGTCCGGATTCCACACCATATTCCCTCTGCCATTCCCATTGTAGCCGATCACTGCTTTCAGCCTCAGGATCTCACTGCCAGCTGGAGGAGATAAAAAACTCTGCAAGAAAAACAGACACTGGCTTAAAATAAGCTCTAGAAGGATGGCCTGGTCAGGTACATTCATCACCCACGTAAGAAAAAGCGTGCGTGCGAGCACGCACACGTAACAGAAATTCATGCCAATACTCACACAATTCAAGTTCAGCACATCAACAGATGAATACCAAAGTGCGCACTTACATATACAAAAAAGAAACTGCACCAGCAAAACCAGGCACAGATGCTTTCAGATGGGGCACAAAACAGGCTGGCAGCAACTGCCCAGCAGCTGCTAATCCTGCTGGGAAAGAGCTCAGCGGGTTTTGCTGACTTGGGGATGTAGATGTTTCAATAGGAAGATGGTGTGTGTGGGGGGAAAAGCTACCAGGTGGAGGGACAGAGGAGAGGACTGGGGGTGCAAGGTGAATGTAGCTTTTCTCCCAGCACTGCGAACAGCAGAGCTTAGGAAAAGGTTGAGTTAAGTTTCTGTTTTATTATTGCTCTGTTTGTTAACAAAGCGAGAGCTGTGCCTTGACTATCTTCACTACGCTCGATGGATTGCCTTCCCCAGCCTGCTCTGCCAATGCATCTGCTCACAAATATGGGTGCATGATGAATCACTCCATTGCTCACTCGTCTTTCACTTTCAATAGCACATGCCATTTCCATTTCTTTTGAATAAAAATGTATGCAGATTTGCTGAACAGAAAAAGAGTTGATCACAACTCACTTTTTACTAGTCTGGAAAGAGCTGCATGTAGAGGAGAAAGGGGAACTAATATTAGCAGTTTCTAATTGAACATCAGGCCCAGGGGTATATTTCACAAATTGCTTTCAAACAGAGACCAAAATGGAAACAATTTGGAAAATCCACCTACTCCAGCCCCAAAATGCCTGCTTGCCACCTGCCCAGGGAACCAGCCCTGGCACAGCTCTCACCTGGGGGAGCACCGATGCCTTAAAGTGAGGAGTGAAATGCCGGTAGGAGTCTGGCCGGACGGAGCACTGGGACTTGGGACTTCTGGTCTCCTTTCTGGGTTCTGTCACACAAAGAAGAAAACAGTACCTATGGGATGCTGCTCCTGGGAATGGTTCAGGAGCAGCAGCTAGGCTGTGGCCTGCTGTCCGTTCAGATGCTCTGTACGTGCGTGCGTAGACACACACACGAGGCAAGAATCAAAATGCAGAATCTCACCAGCTCCTACGCGACTATATGATCGGCCCTAGGAAAGTCCCAGCTTTCCAGGAGCAAAGCATGAACATCCATCTCCCCCCATCATCCCACTCAGCCACACCACACTGCAAACAACCTAAGGGCACCCATGCTACATGCCCTGGGCATTGCTGCGAAAGCATAAGCCACACAGCTAGAAAGAGGTCTTTAACGAGAGCGGTGGAAGCACAGTTTTATGTTGGAGCTTTCCAACAAGTCCTGCCTGGGGCTGAGCACTGGCAGCTGCCTGTTCTGGCAGCTCGCCACAAATTGCTGCGGCTTTGAGGCTATGCCTCTATTAATAGAGGTATCGGGAGCTTTAATTTCAGCTGGGTTTAATAGAATATGCCACTTAGAGATGATATTGGCTCCAAGCTGAAGGGGGGCTTCTGGTGTGCCTAGAAGCAGCAGCAGGGAAAGAATCAGAAAAAGAAGCAGTCTTGGGGACCAGCATGTGCTCCCCTCAATATTGACTTCCCTTGGTAAGTCCCACCCAAGGGAAGAGTGCTGAGGAACACGCTGCTGTCCTTCATCTCGCAACTCGGAGCACGTGTCTGGGTCTATCGGTACCATATTAATAATGATCCTTCTTCATTTTTCAGGGACAGACCAAGCTGCCATGCAGGCCTGCACATGTCGTGCCCCTAAGGAGCCAAGCCCTGCACAAGACGGGAATACCCCTGATTTACCATTTGCTGATTCTTCAGGAGACGTCGAGCTCTCCTGCCGCGCTTTGGGCCTCACGACAATAAGCTCCTTGCTCCTGACCGACCCCACCACAAGGAGCGAGGCATCTTTGTCTCCATTCATCACCATCCTGCTTCTGCCTGGCAGATCTGCTTCCTGCTCTTTGTCTGACTCGGAGAAAATACCTGAAGAGAAAAATTAGCGGGAGAAAAGAGCTATCCGTGTCCTTCAGGACTGCTTCATGTGTGACCAACCTTTTGATTTCTGGCCGTGTCATTCTCCTGCTCTGTGTAACAGTCCATCTGCTACGGTGAAGGGCAAAGCAGACATCTCCTGTTGGGTATGTCCAACCAGGTATTGACCTCAGAGAAGCTGCACCAGCAGCTTAGTGTTATGGAGGAGAGCAGAGGATAAAGCAGGGCTGAACCCCAACACCTCTGGCTGGCTTCATCCAAGTTAGGGGAAGGAAGGCGCAGACTGGTCTGGCAGTCTGCAGGAAGACAACTATGGGCAGAGATGGCTCCAAGGGGGCTGCTGAACTAGGCAAGCAGTTTTCCCTGAAACAAGATTAATTTTCCCCTTTCCTGCAAGCCGTTCCTCTTACTTTGACATCCTGTTTGGTGGACAGAGCTGACATCCAAACACGGTGGTGAGGACAACAATGGAAGAGGAACTGTCTGTCGAGGTGTCTCGGAGGCATCCTTTACCTTCTCAGAGCTCCCTTCTGTGTAAAGAAAAGGGTTTGTGTAACTTCCTCCATCCCTTAGATCCTCTCATCCTCCTGGGCTGATCGACAGTGATACTCTAAGCCCTTTCCTCCAGCTTCCTCCTACACAGGAGAAGCCACTTCTCCTCTGTCCTTCAAGAAAGGGAGGGACAGACAGAGGGACAGTGTGGGCAGGGAAAAGGAAGACAGAAGAGATGGAGGCAGGGAAAGACAGAAGGCAAAAACTGAAAGATCTACCCGAAGACCCAGAGCAGCTCTGCTGACGACATCCCCTCCTTGGCAGACTCCCACTGAGATGTACTAGTTAATTACTAGGAGACTGTCCTTTGGGGCTAATTAGCTGGTTGACTCCCTGAGGGAGGGAACCAAAAACCCACAACCCCTACCCTCTGCCATGACGAGCAGCGGTGGCAGAGCTGCCAGCCTGCCACCAGCGCAACTCAAGGGAGGAGGCAAACTCACCTGCTCCTGGCAGCAGGGTGGACTTGGAGGAACAAGCCCTGGAAAGGCAAGGAGACTGGTGTTACACCGAGATGGGATGGGGCAGGGGAGGTGACGGGAAGCAGGGGAAGGGCACTGCCCAGCACACTGCGCTTACCTGGCCAGGGGTGACCTCTCTGCAGGCAGAGCCAGGAAATCCCAGAGGAAGATGGCATCTCCAACGCTGATGACGTGCTGCTGGTCTGGGGTGAAGGCCACCTGGCGCACTGGCTCTGAGTGACCGATGTACACCTGGGAGAGAGCACGCCTTGAGCTTCTCCATCACCACACCTGTCCTAGCATGGTGGTTACTGAGCTCCCTGCCCTGCACAGCCAGTCCCTACACTCCTCAGCAGATCCTCTCTGAGGCCAGCACCCCCCCTACAGTGCTCAGACCTAGGGTTGATCAACTTGGGTTGACCTTCAACACACTGATCTGGAGAAACAAGCAGCAGAAGCTGAAAACCCCCAAGGCCTTCTCCCAACTCTCAACACTTCCGAAACCCTGGGCAAGCCATTTTCTTCTCTGCGTGGCTCTGTCCCTACCTCTCCCCTGCAGAGCGACTCACTAGGTGTGGTGCTGTGGCAGCCCCAGCTTGTGCTCAGTGCACAGCATTATCTCAATGCAGGAACAGGGCTGCGGTCAGCTTCTGGGCAAACTGGGACTGGGGATACTGGGCCAAGTCACACAGATGGCATTTGCTGCTCTCTTCTCCAGGGATTCATAAACGCTTGATCAGGGCAACACCAGCCCCCTTCCCCCCCTTTGTGGGCAGTACCTGGAAGTTGATGTCGAAGCGCATCTGATAGTCCCACACTTTGATAACTTTGTCGCCAGCAGTGAGCAGGTACCTGCCATCCTCGCTCAGCGCCAAGGAAGAACAGGAGAGCTTGTGCACGGGAGACACCTGAGGACAAGAAACGCATTAACTGCGTTAGTGCGTGTCCTTACTTATGCTTCAACAAGGGGACAGGAGTGTGACAGCACAGAAAACAAGGACAAGCTTAGGCTCACCCTGAGCACAACCAGCCCAGGATAGCTACAAGCTTGCCACTTCTCTGAAGCCCGTGAACTCCAGGATGAGCTCCTCTCTCCTTTAGCCTCCTACAGTGACATGAAGTGCCCAAGCCTCACAAGACACGAGACCTCAGTGTGTGAACTTCATAGCATCCTACCTCTCGCACCAGTCGTCCTGTTTTTGCATCAAGCACAAGGATTTTATTGGAAGAAGTGGATACCAGGAGCTCGCCTCGAGGCACGGGGGCAAAGCAGACTCTCACTGCAAAGTCCAAGGCCGCGCTGTTCAAATCAAGGATGCTGATGTCCACCCTCAGCAGCTGCAAAACAAGGAGCTACCGAACAAATGTCCTGCAGCAAATACTGCAGAAGCCTTGGAATTGCTCTCGTGACTCTCCTAACACAAGGCTACGGAGCCTCCCAGACCCTTCCCTTCCTACCTAATGAGGGGCTTCAGGGTCCAGGCAAAGTCCCTGCTGCCCAGGAGAGCAGCTCTCAAAGAGGGGTCGGAGCTGACAGTCTACACAACACTTCTCCAAATTATCTTTCTAGAGAGGAATGAAGCTGGAGAATAAGAAACCTTGACTTTGTTGTTTTGATCTCCCAGAATGAAAAATGGACCTCATTGTAAGCACCCTGAGCAAGTGCCTGCTGTGCAGGGAAGGGACCTCTCCCGATACACACTGCTGCTGCCCATGGTCTATCTCATCTGATGCAGCCCATGGGAATTTCCCCTGTGGCACGTGCTCCCCTCCCCACCCTCCCCCAGGAATGAGGGGAGCCCACTGGGTACCTCATCCAGAGAGCAGGCCTCCATCACCGTCACAATGTACTTGGAGTGACCCACGAAGGCCAGGAGACGGCTGTCCCCACTGACTGCCAGAGCATCGGGACCGCTCCCAGCATCCCGGGCCACCACATTGCCTGAGGGCCACAGCAAGAGAGACAGTGAAGAGCGGAGCAAAGCCCCCGCTGCAGCCAGCTCACTCTGTGATGGTGCTGCTGACCAGTAGCTGCAGCTTCTCCTGCCTCTGAATCAGCCGCGGGTTAACATTCTGGCCTGAGGAAGAAGCAGCCTCTGTTGTGGAAGATGCTACAAATATTATCTGCAACAAAGCGTGCAGTGAGCCACCTCAAAGACAAGGGCTAGATACACAGCTTGTCGCCTGGCTGAACGTGCAGTGTTTTCAAGGAGAGCAGAACAATGTCAAGGGAATAAAATTGGTTTTAGTGTTTATTTTTTAACATTACAAGAAACTGTGACAAGGAGCTATGGATGTGAGCTCTCAGCTGCAGTCTGGGTGTCTGAACGCTGTGCATAAGGAAGTCAGTGCCAAACGCCAGCATGCTGATGTCAGTCCGGTGGGCAGATAGACCCAAAGGTCTAAAAATCACAGAAATCAGAGCAATTCTCTGTATTTATCCCATTATCAAAATTCCACTGTTCTTTCCCTGAAATACAGCCAGGCAATGAATACGGGTTCCAAGCAGAGTCAAAATGTGAAGGTCCAGCTGCAGCACTGACATCAAACTTGGGTGATTTTGGACAAATTCCCTGATCTCTCTGAGTCCCTATCCCTTCTCTGCCTACTTCAACTGCACATCTCTTGAGGCAGGATCCTCCTCTTTGTACAATATCGCATAAGGGAGCTCCCTTTCCCTGCCCAAGCTTGCGCTGCCACAGCTCATTTCAAAAGCGTACATTAAAGATGACATTAATATCTCCAAATTGTCTTGCTCCGGCACTGCTTCCCCTGCCTGCAGCTCTCCACCTTCTCCGCTCACCACCATGGCTCTGTGCGCAGCTGTGCTGCAGGCATGATCAGGGAAACAATCCAGTTCAAACAAATTAAACTGCACATCCACAGAATGGAAAGAATCAGGGCTTGGGCATGAATAAGTAGGAAGACTACACTTGCGTTACTTCTAGGCGATGCACTGCTGAATCCAGACCCGAAAGGGCAGGTCTCTGTGCTTCCAGTCCATTCACGCAATCAAAACACCAAGCAAGCTGTGAGCCTTTGAACCAGCACGGGTTGGGAAGGGTTGGCAGTCGCTAGGGTTTGCTCACACATATGGTATAAACACAGAAGACACATCTCAGAAGTTTCATCAGAAAATACCTCTCTGGGTAGGCTGAGTCTAGTCTGGCTTTGGTGCTAGGATGTCTGGGCTAATATAAAAGAACAAAGGCAACCTACAAAAGTCTTACCCAGGACTCTCAGGACGTGGCTTTTCTGCGCCATACAGCCATAAAGAGCCAGCGTTCCCTGCAAACAGGAGCTGAACATGAATTTGCCATCTGGAGAGAAGGTCAGTCCAGTGATCACAGTGCGGTGCTGCCTGAAAGAAGGCAGAAAACATGAAAAAGGGGAGGAGAAAAAACAAACAAAATCCCCTAGAAAAGAGTAGCAACATCGAGTGCAACATGAAAAGCCCAGGGGAGCAAAATAATCAGGGGCAGGCAGAGCACTCCACCGAGTTCACGCCTGCAGCAGCCCAGGACAATCAACACTTCAGCTTTTTGGAAAACCGCGTGGCAAGCGCGGTATTCCAGCTCCCTCTGGAGCATTGTCTGCTTCCTGTGCCAAGGCTCGCAAAGGCTCCCTGTTAGCTGCTCTCAGGACAAGCCCTTTCCTGCTGTTGGCCCGCTGTCTACCGGGAAGTCACAAAGAGCCCTCACAGCCTGCGCAGGTTGGACCTTTACCACCCGGAGCCTTGGCACAGCAGCCTGAAAAGCACTCAGCTGGGACGTGAGGATTACCGAGCTCAAGAAAAGTGCTTTTCCCGCCTCCATAATTATAACTGTGGCTCCTGCCAGTACACCCAGTTAGACCCATAGCTGCCCCAGTACAGCTCCCACTGCAAGCACTCACTTGTGCTCGGCCAGCAGATCGGAGGCAGCCAAGCTGAAGGTCCGCACCATGCCACTGTCAAAGCCACAGGCCAGGATCTGCTGGGTAGGGTGAAAGGCCACGGCACACGGCATTTCATCTGCAGCTGTGAAGTCATACAGCTGTGGGAAGAGACACACCGCAGGCATGAAGCTGGATAAAGCTCTACCTGGCAGCCGTACCTAACAGCAAACCAGCCTCAGACCTCCACCGTGAGCGCGTCCCACAACAGGAATCTGATCTTGCCTCGATGGATCTGAAGCCCAGTGAAGTCCTGGGCCTTGGGCATTTAGATAGGGCCCTTGGGTATTATGTTTTGTGTTAAAAAGCAGTATGTTTTTATGTGTTAAAAAGCAGTATGTTTTTATGTGTTAAAAAGCAATATTCAAAAGACAGAGGAAAAGAAAACATTTTTGTTTAACAATACCTTCAGAAGCTAAGGCCAAATTATGCGTTAAGCTAAAACTCTCAGAACTCCATGCTCCAGGATTTTTTGCCCCATGGTTCAGGGCTCTTGAACTGTGGAGCTTTTTCAGGGCTCTTGAACTGTGGAGCTTTTTAAGGGCTCTTGAACTGTGGAGCTTTCATAACCAGACCGAACAGAGACTAGGCAGACTATTAATAAATGTGAGACACCTACTGACTCTTGTCTCGCCTACCTGTTGCATGGAGACAAGGTCCCAAACTCGGATGGTATTGTCCCGAGACACCGTTGCCATCTGCTTCCAAATCCCCTCCACTGAGAACGCCAAAATGGAGTGCTCGTGAGAGCGCATGAGGGTGTTATAGTCCCGGGACTGGATATCCAGGTAGCCCAGATTCCCAGCAGCGGTTGTGCACAAGACTTTGCGGCTGTCTGGGCTGATGCAGACTGAACTCACTGGAGCCTCGTGCTCTGGGGAAAGACACAGGAGTCAGCAACCCCCCTGGGAAAGGAGCAGCAGCAGATGGAGCAAAGCTACCGAACCAGAGCCACATTTAGGAAGGTAATGCATACAGCAGTGAGCACCCCACACGACCTCAGGACTGAATGCCTGCAGGTTTGAGTTTAGTGACAAATTAGTCTCTGCCCTTTCTAGAAGTCCCTGGGCCCCGCTGTTATGGTGGTTTCAGAAAGAGCAAAGAACTGCTCAACTTCTCCCCTAAATATTCATGGACAGAAGAGCCATGGGTAGAAGGGCACAGAAATCAAGACTGAGTGCCTGCTCTCAACCAGGAGATCCTGCCATTCTCCTACAAGTTACAAGAGTGAACATGACTAATTGCTGTTAAAGACTTCCGAGCCAGCCACCCCTAGAGACAGCAGGCATAAAAGATGCCCTCGTTCATGACAATTGCTCTAGGAGACATGGCAGTGGAGCCGTGGCTTCACAGCAGCAGGCTGATGGGAGTTGGGGAGCTCAGAAGCACCACTCCCAGCGCTACTCACCTGCCTCTAAGACAACGGCTGAGAAGTCCAGTGGCCACAGCCGCAGGTAACCATCTTCTGAACCCATGGCACAGAAGGTTGAGGAGATGCTAATACTGTTTATAGCGATCCCAGGGCCTGGAAACCCAAAAAACGACACTATGTTGTACAGCTGCAACAAGAAAACTCAAACTGAGGGTTGCCCCATCCAAGAGCTGAGAGCTCCATGGTCCACCCACACCATCGCCTGTCTCAGAAGATGCCAGGAATCCCACGGTGACGGACAGTATAGGCTGAAGAGTCCCAGCTAGCCCTTCTCAGGACTCAAAGCAAGTTCAGTCCCCGTCCTTTGCCAGAACTCCTCTTTACCATCATGCAGCTCTCGCCAGGCACAGAGAAGTCTTTACCGCTTGTTAAACCCTGCCATGTTTTCGCCTTGAACAAGGTCTTGTAGCAAGGGATGTCCTAGATTAACCGCCAGAGATACAACCCCCTTTCATTTCCATGTCTCAAATCCTCTCTGCAGCGTAGTGAGAAGGGAGAGAGAACAGAGATCTACAGAAACTGGTTTTTTTTGATGCAGGTATAAAGTCCATTGGTCAAAGCACTGGTGAGAGCCAGCACTGCTACAGGAGGACACCCAAGGACACCGTTTCATCTCCCCTTGGGCATTTTCTTGCCCACGAAGTGAGAACCAGAGTCCCATACCTCTCAAAGGGGCATGCTCTAGATTAATTAGCTCAATTTGCCAAAGCAAACTATGCACTAAGTTTTAAGATATCAGAGCAATCGCACTTGAAAGTGAATTCTTCCCACCGTTAAAATTAGTGGAAGAGATGAAAGCTGTAGTACTTAGTATACAGTAACCAGGCTTTCCCAAACACTCTGCACAGGCTGAATAATGAAAAAAAAAAAAAAATCCCAAATTCATCTTTTTCGTTGGTCCTCTTATCTTCTTCCATCTCTTCATTAAGATTCCCATCAGTAAATTAAGACCTTGTTTTGTGTTTCTAAAAGCAGTGTTTCTCTGAAAGTGCAATCAGCATTTCAAATGCTAAAATTCTTTCTTAAGACGATACTTTGCTGTACTAAGGAAGATTATTTGCAGCACTTGAGGCAGATAGCTAGCAACAGCCTAATCGACCCAAAATCATCCTTAGCAGTAGGTAAATAGCTGGTTGATTCCACCAGAGATTTGTTTGCCCTTTCTGCCCCCCGATGATGGTCGGGTGCTCGCTGGCTGGTGCCCTCCTAGCCGCCTGCCTTGTCGTGCGGCTGGCAGCCCTGGGGCTGTGCGGGCAGCAGCCGCCGCGCGCTCCTCATGCAGACGTTCTTGTAGTCCACCTCCAAGACGTGGCCGCTCTTGCTGCAGACAAAGCTGTAAAGGAGAGAGAGCCCTGCTCTGGCACCCCAGGGTCAAGAGCGGCTGTGCCGGTGTGGTTTAGTGAAAACCCAGCTTGGTTTACCCGTTGAACTGTTCACCTGATGGAAAGCAATTCTGGTTCACAGTAACCTAACAGGTCAACCAGGTGTCCAAGGGCGCCTTTCCATGCACTACCCTACAAATCTACAACCAAGTCAGAGTTCCCTATTTTATTTCCTGTCCCTTTGAAATGTTAGTTAGCAAAAAAGCTAAAGCTCAGCGTAGACTTCAGAAAGAAACCTCTCTCTGCCACAGGACACAGTCCAGGGGAAGGCAGGGCCAGCTGAGCCGACAGCTCTGCCTTAATGGAACAGTACGTGGTAGCAACAAAGGTCTGGCTTTGACAATTAAAATAAAACAAAGAAAAAAAGTCTGTATTGCTGTATATGCAAGAGGACATGCACCACGCTACTCCCGCTGCCCACAGAAAGCTAACCACAAGCCTCAGGCTGGGGAGATTCACTAAATATGGCAAAACATCAGTCTGGCAAGCAGAAAGACCCATTTCTTGGGCTATTCTGCAAGCAGCTGAAGCATTTTGAGAAGCAAAGCATGCTGAGGAGGGGACAGGGTCTCCCAGCTCCAGAAGGCACCTCTATTTTGCAGGGAAAACCCAAGCAAAACGCCATGCTTCTGCAGAGGAGGGGGGAGGAGGATGCTAAAGGCAGCCGACCGCCGGGGGGCTGCAGACCTGCCTCTCGGCAGACTGCCCCGCGGCCGGGCAAGGGCGGAGCCCAGCAGCCCCTTACAGTGTGCGGTCCTCCGGCTCCCGCTCGGCCGCGTGCCCCTCCTCGAAGGCCAGGTCGGTGAACTCCAGGGAATGGTACTCGCCCAGACTGACGGCACACGAGCGCAGTGCTCCGCTCCGCACTCGCCACAGCCTGACGTTGTCTCGGCCGCACGACACCATCCTGTCCCGGGAGAGACCGCGTGAGGACCGGGGCAGGACTCCCCAAGCCGCTGGTGAAAGGCCAGTGCCCCAAGGGCCACCAGCTGACAGCGAGGACCGAGAACAGGAACGGCAACTGGATGGTTGCAGCACCACGACTCCCCCCACAGCCATGCCAGAACCAATGCTTTTGATTGATTTCCTTTGCACGCTACCTGGTGTCATCAAAAAAAGCAATCTTCAAGGCCTGGATGTCCACATCTGTGTGCGCTTTGGCCAGCACGGCCACCTCTCCACCACGGGTCACCTGAGCAGCGTTCCACACCACCACCATCTGAAGCAAGAAAACATGATGGCAGAGCTGCTCAAATGTGGGAGCCTCGGCAGAAAAAGCTTTTCATCACAGCAGCTGGGCACAAAATATCGACAACAGATTTGAAGCAGGAAGAAAAAACCTCTCACAGAGGGTTCAGGACAGTCCAGCAGCTTTGCAAAGCTTCATGGCAATATACTCATCTGGCATCCGTAATTATAGGTTCTAAATCCCAGGGCTGCCTGCCAACAGGGCTCAGACTTGGAAAAAAAATCCACAGAGGAGTGGGAACTCTGCCTGCTGAGACAGAAGAGCTGTACCAGGGCTGAGCTGGTCCGTGAGAGCTGGAAGTGGCACGAGGCCGGCTGCGCTGGCTCCCGCAGCACTTTGCTCCGGTGGAGGTTTGTGTGCTCGCGGTGCCCATCACGAGGGGCAAGGGAGCCAAACCCTTTCCCTAAAGGAGAGGGGAAGATGGGAGAAGAAATGCAGGTGATTTGGTGCTCTGCATTTCAGAACAGCATTAAAAACAGACCCAGCATCACCTCAAAGGCCAGGGCGGGCTGAGGCATCACCCTGGGAGCGATCTTAAATATTGTATTGATCATACCAGATATGCAAAACAAGCGATACACAATACAATTTTTCTCACTGCCCGACGACCGATTGTGCAGCCAGTCCCTGATCAGCAGTCATGAAACTCGTTGAACTCACGGACTCCTGCCCCTCGTCAACCCCCATTTATAAACTGAGCATAACGTCTACGGTACGGAATATTTCCGTTGCCCAGCTGGGGTGAGCTGCAGGGCTGTGCTCCCTCCCAGCTCTCGTACACCAGCTCATCAGCCGAACAGGGGAAAGTAAAGAAAGGGCCTTGATTTCCTAGCAACAACTAAAACCATCAGTGTATTATCAACATTCTTCTCATACTAAATCCAAAACACAGCAGCTAGTGGGAAGAACATGAACTCTATCCCAGCCGAAACCAGGACAGTACCAACCCCTCATTCTATACCATCATGCTCAGTATATCAATGGGAGTTGGCCGGGGAGCAGGAACCCGTGAGTTCCACCATTGCTGCTTGGTGACAGGCTATGCAATAGTTTGTTGGGCGGTGAGAGAAACTGTATTGTGTATCACTTGTTTTGCACATTCTTTATTATTATTATTCCCTCCCTTGTTGTCTTATTAAACCCTGTTTATCTCAACCCATGCATTTTACTTTTTATCTGTCCTCCTCCCCATCCCACTGAGGAGGCGGAAGGAGGGAGCGAGCGGCTGTCCGGTGCTTAGCTGCTGGCTGCCGGGTTAAACCACGACACCTCCCCAGTTTCAGCTCGCCAGCTCCCACCTGGATCATGGACTGCTGCCGCATGCTGTGAAAACAAAACCCACGGAGCACTGTTTGTTTTTTTCTGCAGGCAGTACACAGTTAGCGACGGCACAGCTAATTGCTGGTGGTCATCAATAAGGGATTGGTGGATGCAAACACTTCTACCGATCACGTAAAACCCCCAGTCCCATGAAACAAATTTATTTTTGACTGCTACCCGTGGGATCTGCGTCATCCCCTAGCTACATCAGTGGGCGGCAGCTTCAGTGCCCAGCATTGCTTCCAGCAGCGATGCCTGCGGTGCTCAGAACTGAAAAATTAAACCTTGTGTCTTGCCCTAAATGCTATAAAAAAGGGGGTTTTGGGCTCTAGTCAGTGCTGAACCTCCCATTTCAATTCCTGTTCCTCCACTACACGCTTGCAAGCCTTCCAGCTCGAAATGCCGCAGAAATATGCGTCACTCTCAGCCCAGTGGGCCAGAACGGGTGCAGAGGCGGCGGCAACGCCGGGCGTGAGCCTGCAGTGATCCCTGTGGGGTGCAGGCAGAATCTCACAGCCGCCTTCGTTGCCCTGGCAGAGACTGTGCTGGGGAGAGGAACAGCCCCAAAGCTCAACCCAAGCAGGGCTCTCGGGCCGTTTACGCAAGGATCTGCTTGCTTGCCACCGAGGAACGTGCATGCAAACACTCACAAGCATCAGGCAGAAGGGAAGCATTTTCTAAGCAGCTGAGGAGAAAGGTATCTCCCTCTGGCTACAGTGAAGAACATGCCTAGGAAAGCCCAGAGCAGAGGTTCATCTGCAAAATAACTATGTAATCTGGAGAACAGCCACCTCATGTTGCTAGTTCGCAGGGCCGGGAAACCAGAAACAAGTTTCAGTCCTCACCGTTTTGCTGTGCCTGTCCTTTCCGACACCACACAGAACGGCTCCGCTGTAGGAAAAGCTGCAAGAAGAGGCCAGCTGGTGAAATGCATCTCCTTGTACCCCGAGTGCATCTCGGTGGGGAACAAAAGTAGACAAGGTCAGGGTACGGGGAGAGAGCAAGACCTGAGGGATAAGCTCAGGAGGGAGCTGGCAGCGCGTCGGCTGTTCCAGGCCAGCTGCCAGGAGGTCTCGGTGATAAACACCGGCAGCTGAAGGAGAGCTGCAATTCACCCCTGGTTTACCACACACGAATAGCACAGAAAAGCTGCCGTGCTGCCACGCTTAACCCGCCCGAATGCATCCCTGCGCCCAGGCTGAGACCCACCTGAGGGACAAGAGGGAGCGGACGTGGCTTTTAAACACGGAGAGGCAGGTGCCTGTCGGGAAATCCCAGAGACGCACCACGCTCAGGGGACCGGGCTGCACCGAAGCCAGCAAGGTGCTGTTCCCGTTGAAGGCCAGCGCTGACACCTGCGGGAAGCGCCAGGTCCAAGGGTCTCGAGGAGAGCTGGGACCAGGGGTGCATCTGGGGTGCATGGACAGCGCTGCTGTGGGGCTTTGTACAGAGTTACGCTCACCTTATCCGTGTGTCCAGTGAAGAACCTCTGCTCTCCGGTCTGGATCTGCAGGGTCACTATAACAGCGTGGCAGGGGTAGACCACTGCAGCGTTGTCGTGAGTCCACAGGGCCTGTGGGACCGAGACAGGGACGAGGGGGCTGCAGACACTCCAGAGCTGCCCCAGCTCCTAGGCTGGACCCCAGAGATTTCTGAAACAGAACATCCCCTGCACATGTGCAGGAGAGAGGATGCTCTTCCATACAAGTACTATTTTTATTCAAATGAAAAATAAAAGCCCAGCCAACACCTTACTTAACTCAGTGGATTTACCATAGCAATCGTGTCTACTACACGAACAACAGATAGAAGGAAAATCACGTTGTTGGCAGAGCCTTGAACTGCCTGAACCACAATGACCCTTTCTTGACCCTAACACAGACCACAAGCCGGGCTCCTGGAAGGCACAGTACTCCGTGGAAACAATCCAAAACACAGCCCTTCCTTCCCAGACTCCACAAAGCAGCTCTAATTTTAACATGTTGAAATGCAGAATCCGTGAGATCTAAACGGCCCCCCTCCGTAACTCCTAATTCAACATCGTCACAGCAGGAGACCCATGCACAAACGTGAACTCAGGCCCGTCTGCTTTGGGGTCATTTCCCCACCAAAAAGTGCAAGAAGGGTGGCACTCCGCTGCCTGTCATGCCTCCAAAACATCAATCTGTGATGACACGTAAACTCCCCAGGCCATCTGAGCTACTGACCCATTTGGTGCTGCAGCCTCCGAAGCCAATAATCATTCTCAGCTTCAGGATGGGATCCGGTAAGAGCCCCTACGAAAAAAAGTCGGAAAATCTAACACCAGCAAAAGGACCCCATAGGATTAACTGAAACTCCAGCCCGAAGCTGGCGTTCCCTCTGCTGCTTCTGGAGGCTCGCAAATGTCAGCCCTACGCGTCCCAAAGCCACCCTCGGGCTGCTGCGACTCCTCAGCGCTTCACCCACCTCCTCCGAGCCGGCGTGGACAGCTCGGATGGTTCGTTCGCTCATCTGGTGAGCGTACACGTGGATGCCACCATCACCGACTGCCAGTGAGCGTGACTGCCCTGCGTCCCCCGCACTGCGCGGCCTCTGGTTCCTCTCCAGCTCCTTGTCCGCAGCAGGCACGGCTCTCGGAGTCCCTGGGGCTGTCAGGTGAACCTCAGGGATGCTTTTCGCAGTTACAGGACGCCGGTGCGGCATCTGAGGAAGAGCAAAACCTCAGACAGAGATCAGCAGAGGCAGAGATGGGGAGACACCCGCGTCTCTCCTGAGTGACTCTTCACAGTGACACAAAGAAGATGGAGCAAGGTGGAGGCAGAGCACCCTGTGGGTACTTGGCCAGGTACGTTAACCAGCCACTCTCCCTACGCTCTCAGTGCTATCCATGCACAGTTCACCTCCTCCAGACAGCAAAGCAGAGCCCCAGGAAAGATCCAGCCCTGAACAGTCTCTGGAAGAGCTGCTCTCTCTCCAGTGAGCAGAGGAGGCTAAAAGCTCCGCTTATCCCCGTTCAGAACAGCAAAGCAGTCACGCTCCTCGCTTTTTCCCCTCTCCGCAGTGTGAGGAGCATGGCTTCCCCCGGGCCCTCTGCAAAAGCCCATCACCGCGCTGCCCGGTGAGCCAGTCCAAGCACCAGCTCCTGCATCACCACGAGCTGGGATGAGGAAACCAGTGGTGAGGGCAGCTGCCCGCAGGCCCAGCAATCCAGGCTGCACACCCTGCTCTGCTCCCTGAGAGAACTCCGTCAAGTCCTTTAGTCTCCAGTCCACATTTCCTATCTATAATCTGAATACACAAGTATTTGCTGCCTCAGCTGAGACAGCGAGGGATAGATGTCTGGAGATTACGAGGTGCTTGGCATTTATCTTGTCTCTGCTTGGTGCTAGGCCAGACTGAACCACCCAGTCGTTAGCTGCAGGGCTTCGGTCAACAGACCATGGGGTCTGACCTGCCCGGATCAGCTGTGAACGACAACAAGCAGTTTCCACCTCCTCCATAAAGGAACTCAAAGACAGGACGTGGGGAAAAACTCCACGGGAGGCAGAAAGGAAGAGGTTGCAGCCTTCTCCGCAGTGCACTTACAGCTTTGGGACTGGTGATCTGGTGGATGAGGGACAGTCGGTCACGGACTGCTTTGGTGAGCGTCACCGGCTGGGGTAGCTGCCGGATGGGGTCCTCCGAGGCTTGGCCACCTGGGTGACATGAGGAGCGGGCTGGGTGACATGGGGAGAGGGCTGGGCTCTTTCAGAAACCCGAGGCATCCACCCGGGGTGGCACAGCCCGGGCTGCTGTGCCCAGCCTCCCCACCTGCCGCGGGACCGGGACAGCTCTTCTGGATGGAGTCGTGCAGCAGCTTGGACCCCTCGGCTGGGAACCTGAGCAGAATCAGAGGAAGGCACCGTGAAATCAGGCTGCTCCACCGGCACCCGGGAATCTCACGTGGTAACTCACCGCGTGGCACAAACACCTCTTCACTGTCTCCTATAAGATTCCCCCATTTCCCCTCTCTTGTCCCAAATACAGCGATACTAAAGCATCTCCCAGGTCTGCTCTGCATCGTTCCTTCCCAGGGGTTAACTCGGCACTGTGCGCTTCAGGCACCGCCGCTGCGCCGACGACTGCGATGAGCTGCAATTTATGACCGGCACAGTTCTCTGGCAAAAACATGCCCACCGACGGGAGGCCAGCACCGCAGCTGAGGAAGGTACGCTTATGTCTGCCCCCCGATGAGGCGTCTCCCCCCCCATCAGACTACCCTTTGACTTAGCGAGCGGCTGCAGTGCCCCCCGGGAATGGCACACACAGAGGGAGGGCTCACACAATGCTGTCAGCCACAGAGCAGTCCCAGCAAGAGACCGCCAAGAGAGAGGGCTGGTGTTAGCCAGGCATGGGAGTGAGGAGAGGCTGAGGGAGCTGGGCTTGTTTAGCCTGAAGAGAAGGCTGAGAGGGGACCTTATAAATGCTTATGAATATCTCAAGGGTGGATGTCAGGAGGATGGGGCCAGACTCTTTTCAGTAGTGCCCAGCGACAGGACAAGGGGCAATGGGCACAAACTGGAGCAGAG